ATGTATGTAGGTAACATAAATGAGATGAACATGAACAAAACATGTATTATTCAAGTATATACATATATATATATATATATATATATATATATATATATATATGGTAACAATTTACAGTGTCTCTCTGTTTGCCTATCTGTATATCTATGTATCTGTATACTGTGTGCGTATACGCGCGCATATATTGGCCTTTATAAACTTGACTTTTTCTTAATAGATTGTCTACGCCAACTAGAAGCGATTGAAAGTAATTTTATTAGATAATTTTAATAGTAAATTTCATTTTTGTTTTATGTAAATTTCTTAGGTAAATCATATATTAATAATGATTATAAAAATAACTAATGACACCAATAATGGTGCCTATATTTCAAGTAAATGATACTAATAGTGATCATAATAGTAGTGGCATTAGTGTTATTATTATTATTAGTAGTAGTAGTACTAGTAGTAATAGTCATCATCCAGAAGATACAGGTGTTTATTAACAGTTGTCTACGCAAAATACTTCGGATCCGTTGGCCGGACACTATTAGCAACAACCTACTGTGAGAAAGAACGAACCAGATCCCAGTGGAAGAGGAAATCAGGAAGAAGCGCTGGAAGTGGTTAGGACACACATTGAGGAAAACACTTATCTGAGTCACAAGACAAGCCCCCATATGGAATCCTCAAGGCCAAAGGAAAAGAGGAAGACCAAAGAACACATTACGCCGGGAAATGGAGATAGACATGAGAAAAAATGAAAAAGAATTGGATGGAATTAGAAAAGAAGGCCCAGGACAGAGTGGGTTGGAGAATGCTGGTCGGCGGCCTATGCTCCATTAGGATTAACAGGCGTAAGTAAGGAAGTAGTAAAAGTAGTAACGGTAGTAGTGTTGGTATTAGTAGTATTATTGTTGTTGTTAGTAGTAGTAATAGTAGCAGTAGTAAAGTAGTGAGGAGCAGTGTTTCTGACCCCAGCTAAAGATTCAGTAGACGCTCAAATTCTAGATCAACAGGCTGGCTTTCATTAGAATCAATCACATACTACCATAACATAACCAAACACTACCAACTGATTTCTATTGGTCGTATGAATCTTCCCATTGATGCTTAAGACCTTAAATGATCAGTCTATTTTCAGCATATGTGTACTAACACTAGCAATACTGATGAATGTTTGGATGGTCTAAAATAGAAGCACATTCTGAATGGGGATAGTAGATTTCAATAAGTGATAGGAAAATGTAATTCAACTGTTCAGTTTACTCAGTATGACTATAATTATTTTAACGAAGCATTCAACATATATTATCCTGTTTCAAAGTTTAGACCTTCTATGGCTTCAACTGGTATAATCTTCTAATCTAAAATTCAATAGGTGTTTATTTCAATGGTTTACCGATTAACATAAATTTATGACGAAAATGATCTCTAAAGTCAATTACACAATTTTTTTATGAATTCTAGTCAACAGACTTGTTAGAATTTTTCCTAGTGTGTACAGATGCCGAACAGAATATTGTGCAACTGTATCCATAAAGGGTTTATGATGATTGTTAAGTTTTATAGAGTAGATTGTGAACTGATATCGGTTATACAACCACCGAAAACCAATAAGCACTAGACAGTTGTTTCATCCTAGTATGGGACACCTCAGTAGTGTTCAGCCACAATCCCACTTAGGATGCGTATGTTTCTACATAGACCTCTATCAATGCTTAAGATTGATTTTTTTCAAATTCGTGATGTAATGTTCAAGTCTAGTTAATGCTTGATAGTTTTTCTATGTAAGTATGGAATTCATTTATTAGGAGACATATCGAAGCAGGGATAGTTTACATAAAGAGCTATAGAGAACTAGTTGTAAACAATAGATAGAGGGTATAGTTTTAATATACAACATAATAGAAAGCTTCATACACATTTCTTTATTTTTTGTAGTTGTTTAGTTTGATTTGTTGTTAATGTGATGATTACTAGAAGAATACAATAAAGATAATTACTATGAATATAGTTTCTAGTCAAATTTCACCATCAACTGTTTCATGTATTTTACTGACCACACCCATAAAGTTTTGATACATTAATAATTTTATACATCCATCAGCTTCTGATCAATACCTTTTACTCTTCTTTTTTTTATACAAAGTCTTAATATTACTAAACTAATATCAGATATAAGTTGTGTTGTGAGTGTATATTTGGAATCAGTCCAATTTATACAAATTAAACGTTGATTTATTCTTAAATATTTGTCATCGTTTTACATTTCATAAGAAATAATTACTGTCTACAGAGTAATTGATATTAGTATCTGCACAATATGAGTAATAATTAATCACTGAAGGCTATTTTTAAATTATTATATGTATATCTAGGAATATGTCTTTACTCAAATGTATAAATTATCTCAAAGTATGTAGGTGGTGAACTGAATCACAATGTACTGCTCTTGGCAGCAGTAGTAGTAGTGCTATTTTGAACTATACACTTGCTTATTTACTTACATATGTATACAACTATATTTATATACATAATGCACTACAATAGTACTATTAATAATAATAATAATAATAATAAATGTTACTATTAGCCATGATATATTTAAATAGTGTTTTCAGTAATTCACTCTTTTCATACAATGATGAACCAATAATAAAAGTACACAATACTAACAAGTTCTGATAGTTATCTTGTGACTGATTGATATAATGTGTATTTTCTTCTTATTTATTACTGGCTAACCATCTTTCTTTTTCAATTTATGTATAATAATAATAACAGTGGTGCTTTTAGTGACAGATTACAATCGCTGTTGTACTTACGAGAAAAAAGAGTAGTATATCATTAGAAAATCTCCAGTTATTTAGTAAGTTCTTTAGTCAACTACAACAGACACAATTATATAAAGTAATTTTAAAATAGAGAGAGAGAGCGAGAGGAAGTAAGAGAGTGAAAAAAGAAGTAGAGAAAATAATTTAAAGCTAATTTGACGTTTAAAAAAACTGAAAGGTTTTGGATTTGTATGATTCTGTATGATGTTTTTATCATTCTTTTTTCTATATTGATGATATGATGAGATTTGTTTCTTTGCATGTGTAAACATTCACGTTTGTACAAGATTTCATCATCAAATTACTGTCTGATTGATTAATTATATTGTTTCAAAGATAATTTATTTGGCAGGCTATGGTCTGTATGTAGACTGATAATCTGTAGAATAGTTATTATCAATATTCAATTTTATTCAGTTCTCTGTAATGATGATCAAATCCATTTGATTAGAGACCATCTCTTATTTTTTATTTGGTTTAGATACACGTGTAATTTCAAACCTCTTTAGTAATTTAAATATAGAATTATGTATTCTGTTGTACATCAATTGTTTTTTTATGAGGGAACTAAGGATTCCAATGAATTGTCCAACTTGGAATGCATGGAAGAAGGATGAAGCATGTCATTAATTGTTTTGAAACTTAGGTGTTTTGTCTGTTATCCTACCAACCAAACATACCGGGCATACACTGTGAAGACGAGATATTTAAGTCTTAACTGGTAATACCAGATGAAATGCATTGGCTGCACAGTGGGTAGTCATTAACATCATATCATCATGCTATGCTAGTTATCAGTGTTATTTGAATTTTATAACATAATGTCTATAAAAACTAACCATATTTAACACCAGGTTTTATGAAGAAAGTAGGAAAATGGTCATATGGTCATATGTGTATTTTAGGATACTCTGAGAATTCTTCGATAGTCTTCAGAAGCCAGGAAATGGCTGAGTACTTTTTGTTTGATCAACATACGCTCTATAAAATTAGTTGACTGGGTTTCACACTATGATTAAATGATTAATTACTTTGTTGCTATGGTTAGCTTGCTTCTAGAGGTTTCTAAAGGTTGAAGGTTACCAACAAACCTAGAAATACTGCGACATTTTGTACATAAGTATATCTTGAAGTAAAGCTTCTGTTCCTGCTGCTTTCTTGTTCTCCACCACTCGAGGCTCATGTTCAGAAGAATCATGGGGATTTAGGAAGCTGCTGGTAAGCCATTATCAATGTTTCAAATGGCAGACATATCAGTATATCGCATAAAAATTTGTTATTAAAAAAATGTGAATAAGTATAAAACTTAATTTGCGGCTTATTTTCCGAATACTTCCAATTACTAAAACGACTTTATTACTTAGTGGATTGAGTATTAATGTCAAATATTTATTGTTGGTTTTTGAATATAAAACTCTGGATTTAAAGACTTGATAAGACTGGCGTGTTCATAGAAATAGGTTACTGAAAATCAGTCAATATCTTATCAAATAATATAAAGTGGAAACACATTTTCCCAAAAGTTTGTTGACACGACTTCCTGATGGATGCTAAATAGGATAAAATCTAGTTTATCGGCTTCTTATCAATTGATCTCAACTATCCAACATCAAATCCATTGTATTGTTATATGAAGTTAATGTATTTAGTGATTATATATATAATCACTCATAATTACTCATTGACAGAATTAGACTAACATTAGGAACTAAACAAGATAACGTTGGTTATCATTCAGTAATTGATTTATGTTGATAGATATACCCATATGCAGAGAATACTTGTATTTTGTTCATTTTCATATATCAATATTAAATAATTTTGAAATTAAACACTTTACTGGGTAACCTGTTGATGCGAAAAAACGTTTTCAAAAATCTTCCATAACTTCTCATTATACTCTTAATGTCTGTACAGACTTTTCATTAAATGACAGAAAAAAATATTCATATCTTAAGAAAGTAGTTTCAGTTATGACGAACTAGTGAAATTATCTAACATTATCTGTTGAACTTCCATAACTGTCTGTTTAATCAGAAGATTGAATGTAAATGACAACTAGTGTCTCATATGTTGAACAGTGAACTTATTAGTTCCTCATATTTTTCCTGCAAACTTTGTTTTTTTAAAAATATTTTGATCACAAATTCTTTTTAATTTTAAATTTTTGCATTTTAACAGATAACACAAAACCGTTGTTACAACCCGCTATGAACGCTACTGATTCCAGCAGGGTTGGTACAGTGTTGGATTATATACCGAAAAACGAATCCAATTTGTATCAGTCGATATTAACAAGCGAATCAGCAGGGTCGATTTCGTCCTCTCTTTCATCACTGACATCATCATTACCAGTAATGTCATCAACATCAATTTCTTGTTGTACTTCAACTTCCACTTCTTCATCGTCGACCTTTCCATCTATACCAGGAGATAAAGAGAAGTTGGCACAAGATCTTGTCAATATGTTTTACTGTTCAACATTCAATTCATTCGGCCAACACCAATCAATCTCACCCCCTACATCATCCTCATCATTAATGCAAACGTTTACTCCGCAGAATTTGAATGACTTCAATTCTTTTTTATTTAAACGGCTGTTTTCAGATAATGTTTTTAGTCAAACGATGAATTTGTCAAATTCACTATTGAATTCATCAACATTTTCAAAATTCGTCCCTTCTGCACTGCAATTGTCAACATTTATGAATTCTTTAGGTAATTTTAATTCAACTCAGTCATTAATCAATTTAACATCTACATTGTTTCCACTGTCTACTAACCCATCAGTAGTGTTTTCTTCACAAAATGCTAACTCTTTTGAAAATTCTGATGCAAATGTTTCAACAACTGGATTATCTTCATATATTCCATGTACAACATCTTCATTGATGCTAACGGAATTTCAGAAGGATACTGTTGAACAACATTTTAAACAAAATACCAATAGTATTAACGATAATCACAATAATTATAACAATGATACACTTATTCCAATCTGAAAATTTTCTGCTACTGTAATTTCTGACACTTAGCTTATTTTCAGGAATTATGCATATATATATATATAAACTTATGTACATAAATGATACGTGAACTGGAGGAATTCTCCGGTATTTTAGAGATCTATCTAAGCTATTTTGGCCACTTTCTATTTCTCTTCTCATTACGAACAATAAAAAGGAGTTATACAAATTGTTGAATTTGGTTGCTGACTAACGTTAATGAATGAGCAATACGACACAAAGTTTATAAAATTATGAAATTCTGTATGTAAATATATATTTAAGTATTGCAAGGCGGAAAAAGATAGATATGTATAAAGTAACTATATAGAAGTAATCAGTTGTGTGTTGTTGCTGAATAATTCGCAAATGAATATTGCTTTTAAATGAATTGATATCCCTTCACTTTCATTTACCCCTTTCCTTATACGTTTGGACACATTTTAGATCAACTACTAAATTGAGTAGTATGATTTAGTTTTTTTATATACTAGTATTTTTATGCTAACTTTAGATTGGAACGTTTCCTAGGCATCTTCATCTTCATGGTCATATAACAATGTGATTAGTTCGGACGGTTTTTTTTATGCATTTTCTATTCTCTGTATGATGTAACATATATTGCATAACATCCATTAATCAGCATGTCAGTAAACCAATATATGTGTATAATTACAAAGAACACAAGCTGATGACATTTATTTCAATCCCTATCTTGACTACATGTGTTATAAACAAAAGTTCTTTCTTCATCATGAGTTTTTTAAAACTTTAATAATCATTAAACCGAATGTCAGCTATACTGGTTCGTTGTTGTTATATTTTGTAATAAATTATGATGATTCCGAATTCTGGACGATTGTGGGGATTCTTCTTATACAAACGAGATATATGCCAACTAAGCCGACGAGATTGTTGATACACAACACTTCAACGATCTCAGTAAAAAGCTTACCATTCAAGAAGTCAAAATTGTATTAGAATAACTCTGTTTGTTTAGTAATGAATATACCCTTGAGACACAGGAAAATAGCAAACTGGAAACTAGGACAACCAATCAGATAACAGCAAAGATTGGTGGGAAAATATGAATTGGAAAAAAAATGTTATCATTGTCTTCCTTACACATCAGAACAAATATTTATGAATAAAAAGAAGAAAACGGAATGAATTTAGGTTTTCCTAGCAATTATTTGGTGGGATGGTTTGTAGAAATTAGTTTAATTTTAAAATATTTCTAAACAGCGGTTGAAAAAAAATTAAAACTACTAAGAGCTGGAATCTATTCAATCTTAGTTTGGAACTTCTTAATAATGTATACCTAAGACCTCATATTGCTGGTGAGCGCCTATGCTCCTTCACGAGGAGTAACAGGCGTAAGTAAGTAAGTAAGTAAGATCTCATATTAAATCTAATTTATGGATTTCAGGATTCAAACAAACTATAATGGTATTATTTACTAATTCAGAAATCTATGGAACAAATTTTCCCACTCCAGTCAACTTGTGATATAATAGACCTGTTGAATCCTCAGTGTTATGAAATTTGACAGTATTGCAAACTACCAATGTAGTTCTCCATAGTTCCCAATAGTTTTACATCATATATCAATTCATGAAGAATACTATCCTCTAATTATTGTCCATGATCGTGTCAATCCACCAAATGATACACTATGATGCAGATAGGATAGGTTTTTATCTAAGTTGACTGAAAATAACACTATTCATGATGTAGTTTGAAAGAGTTAATCAATAATAATAAACATTTTGAACAGACTTAAAAAAACAGCTAAGTAATTAAACCAATTAAATCTGAACTAATTATATGAAAAAAAGTTCGAACCTTATATCTATATAAGTATCTGACTAACACCAATGAATCCCACATCAAATAAATCAGAGGAATCACAACTCGAGTATACAAACTTGTACTTGTTTTATTAATCCATAGCATAACTCACAGGTTATTTCAACAAATGAAACATAATATTTTGGTCTGCTTTATTGAATATAACATTTACAAGCTAGGTATTTTTCGCAACAGAAGTTCAAATAACTATAGGTGGAAGTTATATTTCAGTTTATTTCAGAGGTTTTTCTACTGAGTAGTGAATTTTTACAAGTTTTAGCTTTCGTTTAAAGTATACATGAAAATTGAAGTAAGATAGTGAAAAGAGAAACGTGTACATTTCTGAAATACTAGCATCAAATAGTTATTTCAACTCTTCGTGGCTAATAGACTAAAGTGACATTTTGGTTTCATATCAGTGTGACAAAATAATAACAGGTTAACTGAGAGATATTACAATTTGTGATATGACCACATTTGAAATTGTAACTATGCGCTGATGAAGAGTCTAATGCTCCTTAGTTTTCAACCACTCCCTAGACATTGTAAATCACTGGTTAGAGGATCATTAGATTTGAGTTCAGTTTTACTCAGAAAATGTGGCTGTTAAATTTATTCTTATTATTATTTATATATAATATAAACCGTATGATTTTACGCCGTTCACTTAATGAAAATTAGCCCTTTTTTCAATGCTTGTCAATGGTTTGTAGAAGTTTATATAGGAATTTAATGTGAATTGTGGAATGACAAGTTCAGCTTTCACTCCTTAAATGATAAATAATGAGTTATTTTCTTATCAAAGTTAATTCAGTATGAAAGTCAGAATTAAAACAAACATTTGTCTTGTCTTATTTATTTCCCACTGGTTTTCTGGAGTTGATATTAATCGTAAAAAAATCTGTTTTGAAATTAGAAAATATTGCTGATATTAACCAGAATATTTACTGTGTCGTACTCAGCACATTTGATCATTTTTCCGTTCATTTAGTAGATGACTGTTGAACATTATGGAGTAATCCCCATCAACAATATCATTCTAAGCCCCAAACTTTAGTATGTCTGTATTTTTCATCCAATAGTCGGACTACTCTATACTGGTTTTACTAATGTATGATTTTACAGTTACTTGAGATGAATTATTTACTGGAAATTTAATTTCACTTACTAAATGAATAGAAAAACAACTGAAAGTGTTAGACATGACTATTCAATGAGGTGTGGTTGATCTCAGTCGAAAACATTGAATTAGCTGATCTTCACTCTTTAATAAGTGTGTGCTACGCTGATCATCATTGTAATTAAAACGAATTATTTATAAATTTTTATGCTCAAGAATACAACAGCTATATACTGTAAATATTTATTTGCCTGTCTTAACCTACCCAGTATCATTTCTTAAGTAGTTTTCTTTCTTTCTAAGTCATTGTTTATTTGTTCTCCATAAAATATGTATGTGAGTTGAAACGGCAAAATTAAATTAAACAAAGTCAGTCTCAAATCAAACCTTGGTAATGATACCTAAAAAGTCAGTCTCAGTTCATAAGTGATACTTCAGGTTTTTTTCGATCATATCCGCTTCTTTGTTCTAATTGTTACACATAGGGTTTATTCAATCTATAGAAATGAGTAACAATTTTAACATTAACTATTCTGACTACTAGACCAGTTGAAAAAAATTCCTGTTTAATGTATTGGAATATTTTATAGGCTGAAATCCTAATTTGTTTATCAAAATCACTCGATATTTGAAGATGATTGGAATCATATGTTGAAAATAAATCAGTTTGATGGTTTCTAAAGTTTTAATTAGAAAAACTTTTTTTTAAAATCCCATTTAAAATATAATATTAAAACAAAATACGATTAATGGAATCCGGTTCCCCATAAACGAGTGAAGTGAATGAAATGGAAAACTGATGATCACCATTTTGAGAAGCAATCCAATATATTCATTATGTAGTAACGAACTTGCATGTTTCATTCTCCACTTATTCATCTTAATTTTATTTATTTATTTAAACACATAAACACTGGTACAAGGAGGCATCAAATAGATATGCGCCACTTAAGTCATTTGATTTGTGTGTGAGCTCTGATACTACCCAGGTGCCCAAACCGAAGCAGGCGGTTTCCTTAGGAGGCCACACCCGGTGAAGCAACGTTAGGAGGTGTAGTCCCACGGTAGGTGGTGACCAACAACTGGTTTATACGCCATTTGTTCCTTCAGGATCCTGGAGCCTATGTGCACCATTGGTTTGGAATCAGGGTTTTCCAACTCCACTAGGTGGATCCTCTATATCCACCAACCCGGTTAAACCGCCGGAAATCCGCTTTTTTTCCTCTCAATTTCGTAAACAATAGTAATAGCGCGAGAAGGCAGTGAGTAGGCCATGGGTTACTAATGAAAAAAGCTGCATTGTTCTAGTATCGAAGTCGACAGAAGTGGGCACTTTCAACCTTACTAGGGATCGGAAACACGACCTTCAGGTCTTATAGTGAATACTTTACCACTAGGTCTGAGTTTATTCGTACAATTTCGAATGGAATCAACTTACGATACGACGCAATGGTTATTCAATACCAATATGGACAACTGTCTCACTTTCAATACGTCTGAGGCCCATCAGTCACGACTTTGCATTAGAATTTCAAAAAATCTTGAGGCAGATCACTAGTAAGCTGATTTTTAGAATTTATTAAGCAGAGATTCGTGAAGATCTGTTTGGTTTGTAGATAATATTGGTTATAGTTAAATCTTCGTTGAGAGATTTGAAAATCCTCTGTTCGATGTCTAATGGGGTAGTGGGTGGCCACTAGTGGGCAGTTTCATACTAGGAGAAACAGTTATTTATTTCTCCCTAGTTTTTAGTGACACCCCAGTTAAAGTCAGTCTATGATGTATATATAACAAACGAATATAAACACCTCCAACCAAATAATAATAAATTCAGTTTGTTGCTGATCATACTGAAGAAAACTAGTTGAATATATCTTCCATTCAATAGTTATTTGTCGTTAGGTTTTATCATGGACTGATACCCACTGGAGAACAATTAGAGACTGGAGAAAAATAGATAGCTGTTTCCCCCTTGTCGTTTGTGGCTCAATATCAGTGCAGATCGAAGAACTTGCATAGGACTGGA